ACCGGCGCCGGTACCGGCGGCGGTCTTGGCTGCGGCGATGACTGCTGCGACCGCGGCAGGGAACCAGGCCGACGCCCCGGTCGAGGGGGAGGTACCGGTGGCCGCTGTGAGCGCCGGAACATCTGCTGCCGCCGAGGGCGCAGACACGCAGGAGCGCGACCAGGCGGCGAGCGGAAGACGGGGTCACGGGACCGTCGCCCCTGTACACGCCGCTCGCGGGAAGGGCGGGAGGAGGCTCCGTGCCCAGCCAGCGCCGAGGCGGCCCGGAGCAGGGCTGGGGCCTGGCGCCCCGGGACCCCTCCGGGGCTGGAGTGAGCAAGAGGAGTCGCCACTAACACCAGAGCGTCAACCTCCATCTGTGGGACAAGAAAGAGAGGAAGGCGACGAGGAAGCTGACGTCAGGCACGTGGCAGGACACATCAGCCCGGAGGCAGGGACTACCCGAGGCCCACAGCGGGAAACACGGAGCTCCACCCGCCCACAAGGGATTACCTGGGGCCGTCCGAGGCTGGGACTAGCGAGACAGACACACTCACCATGGATCCCGGCGGGAAGAGCACCACAGGCCGGACGAGGGGGGCGGAACGACGAGAGCAGGACCGGGGAGGGAGCACCGATCCGTGGGGCCCAAGGCGGAGGACGCGGGGCAAGAGGTGGAAGAAGGGGCGGGGGCGCAATCGTCGGCGGAAGAGAGGCACTTGTGAGATCGGGAACGTGGCGGGAACGCCACGACCGCCCGGAGCAGGAGGCACCACCGACGAATCAGGAGGAGAGGGACACGGGGAATGGGGAGGATGGGGGGGATTATGTAGCCGAGACCCCCGAAACCTCAGAAGAGATCTCGTTGGAGGCGGAGGGAGACACTACAGGAAGAGAGAGGGGACGGAGAGCAATTGGGAGACACCCCCAGGACAGAAACCTTGGTGGGGGAAACCCCCAGGACAGAAACCCTGGTGCAAGAAACCCCCAGGAGGGAAACCACCATGAACGGGGAGAGATCGGAGCAGTGACGAGTGAGAGCCAGAGAGAAACCGGGCAACCTACCGTACAGTCACCGGCGGAGCTGGTGGCGAACGAGGCCATCTGGCAGCAGGCGGCCACGTGGGAAGTTGCCCCACTTCAGCGAGGGGACCAACCTTTCTTGGTTCGGAGGATGCCCCCCAAAATTTTGGAAAGCTACACCCTCTGCGTGCTGGCACCACTCCTACGCCTGCAGAAAAACCCCGACTGTCCAGGTGCATGGGTGATCCTGCAATTCTTACCGAGGCTGACCTTGCGGCCCCTTCCCGAACCGGTTCAAGGAAGCCGGTGGGTTGGAATTGAGGGAAGGCTACACCGGTTCCAGCAAGGCAGCTGGGCAAAACTCTTCGAGGAGGCGAAGGTCATCCCCGATACGGAGAACCCGTCACGCCACCAAGCCGATGCCGCTGGACTCTGTGCTAGGGCGGAAGGACTTATGAAGAAGGGTAACATCTCGAAGGCAGTTGCAGCGTTACGCGCAACCCCACTCGCCGAAACCACACCAGCGACACTCGCTGCACTGCGGGCGAAACACCCCGATGCTGCATCGCCCCCGGCAAGGTTCGTTTCCGGCTACACTCATTCGGAGCTGCGGGTAACACCAGATGACCTCCGTGAACTACTCAAGCGATGCCCGAACGGAGTGGGAGCAGGCCCATCAGGTACTTGCTTCGAACACCTCAAAGACCCTGCGCTCGCGAGTGAGGAGGTGCTCATACTCCTCGCGCAGATTATCAGCTACCTCCTTAGCACCTTCCAGAGCCAGGCGGTTCGCGACTTGCTTCTGCCCTCAAGACTCATCGCTCTAGAAAAACCGGGAGGAGGCGTGAGGCCCATCGCGATGGGAGAAGCAATACTCCGCGTAGTGGCAAAGGCGGCTTTGAGGGAATTAGCGCAGACCATTCGCGAGTATTTTCTCCCCGTTCAGTTTGGGGTGGCAGTCACTGGCGGCGCAGAGTGCATCGTCCACTCAGTCCGATCGCTGCTTCAGGAGGACGAGAGCCGAGTAGCGCTACAGCTCGATATTGAGAACGCCTTCAACAGTGTCGAACGGCCGGCATTCTTTCAGGCGCTCTCGCAATCGAGCCTGTTATCACTCCTACCCCTCGTACGCACGCTTTACGACGGCCCGTCTCGGCTCTTAGTGGACCACAAGCTCGGCGTCGATCAGATCATGAGCAACCGAGGAGTCCGCCAGGGTGACCCGCTCGGTCCGCTCCTCTTCGCAACGGCGATCCAACCGACGCTTCTGAGCACGGCGACGCTCCTCCCCGAGGTGGCGATTGTCGCCTACGCCGACGACATCACCATTGTGGGCCCTCGGGACGCGGCCTATGAGGCCTTTGGGACCATCACAAGGGAGCTCCGATCGGTTGGCCTCCGCTGCAACATCGCCAAGTCCTCGGGGTGGGGACCGGATGCGGAAGGAGGGAATGAGATACCACCACCGCAGGGCCTGGCCATGAACACCAACGGCATCGGAGTTTTGGGAAGCCCGATTGGCACGGCCGACTTCTGCACCGATAAGGCACAGACAAGCCTTACAGAAGCCGCCGCACCGCTGCCCCTGATTGCTCAGCTGCACCCACAGCACGCTATGCTAATACTCTCGCGGAGCATTTCCCGCAGGATATCGTACCTGCTGCGGACCACCCCGGCTACAGTGCTGGAGAAGGAGGAGTGGAGGTCTTGGAGTGAGACTCTGTTGGCGACAGCTCTGGCGGCAGCAAAGCTACGGGTCCCAGCGAGTGAGCTGGAACAGAGCCTGTTGTGGCGGCAAGGAACCCTACTCGTCAGGTTGGGGGGGCTAGGCATCATTGACCCTGCCTCGGAGGCACCGGCAGCCTACATAGCGTCCCACACCCTACTGCGGCAGATGAACCTGCCAGAGGCGTACCTGCTGAAGAGGGCGGTCACGCGGCTCGACCATGCGTGGAGCCCGGCCCCACCCGAGGTCAACCAGCTAGCCCCGCTGGAGGCAGCACTCCCGGCGTCAGCACGCTCCACACTACAGGCGTTCAGGGAGCAGCCAGCAGGACAGGGCAACCTTCAGCTACTACTCTCCCGCCACATCTATGAGAGATGGGCAGCGGAACTACTGGCTGACACGATCAAAGACCGCCCAGGCGGACACCGCGGGCACGCCATCCGCCTCATCAGCCTACAGGGGGCGGGGGCAGGGGACTGGCTGCATGCCGTGCCTACGAGAGCTGACCTTACATTTGCCCCTGGTCAGTTCTCCTTGGCGCTGGGGTTCCGCTTAGGCATGTCCCTGCCGGTCACTGAGAAGTGTCCCTGCAAGAGAGAATACTCTGACATCAACGACCCGAGTCTGCCGAACCATCTCCTTAGGTGCGGGTACGGGGGCGACGTCGTTAGAACGCACAACGCGCTAGTGTTCGCAGCACTCAGGATGGCAAGGGAAGCGGACTTCACGTGCTTCCACGAGACATCGGCTTTTTCCCCACCGATCCTCAGGAAGAGGGGAGATCTGGCGATTCGAGACAGGGAATCAAACGAGACCTGGGTTACAGACGTGACAGTGAGTGACCCTGTGCTCCAGCTGCGCGACACCAGGGCACGGAAGCCACCAGGATGGGTGGCTGAGGAGGCCTCGGCTAGGAAGCACAGGGAATACGAGGACTGGCCAGACTACGTCGGCTTCTTTGGCCTCGCAGTTGAGACGTATGGGGCCCTGTCCTCGGACACACAGGAGTTCCTACGGCTACTGGCCACCGCAACGGCTAAGAAGAAGTACCGCCAGGGGAAGTTGACAACGACGACTGCACGACTCACTGCACACTACCGGCAGCGCTGGTCTGTGATGCTGCAGCGATCCCAGGCAACGTCCTACCTGAACAAGTCAAACCTATCTGATGAAGCAGCGTTCCCCCAGGCTGCTAGGGACCCTTGGGAACCTAGCCTGGGGGACCTCTGGCAAGTGCTGGAGGATGAGCTGGAGGTTGTTATGGCTCAGTAGGCGGGAGTAGGTGTGGGCCAGTGATGTAGCCATGGCTTGTCGGCTGCATGTCTGGCCTGAATGACCAGCTTGCCTCGACTGCTGGCCGTGCTTGGCCTTGCCCTGCAGTGCTTTGCTTTGCTGGTTTGCTGGTTGCTTTGTCGGCCTGGCTTGCCTCACATGACCGTCCTGTCTGTGTGCAGATGTCCTGCTCGTATCACGCTCCTGCCATGCATGATGAGTAGCCCCAAATGCCTAGGCCTGCCTAGCTCTATTCCTGCCATGCCTGTACCCCTATGAACCTATCAATGAAGGACTGCTTGAGAGAGAGAGAGAGAGAGAGAGAGAGAGAGAGAGAGAGAGAGAGAGAGAGAGAGAGAGAGAGAGAGAGAGAAGCACAGAGGATGGGCGGCTAAAGAGGCATCTGCGAGGAAGCACAGAGAGTATGAGGACCGCCCGGACTATGTAGGCTTCTTTGGCCTGGCGGTTGAGACGTATGGGGCGCTGTCCTCCGACACACAGCAGTTCCTACACCTCCTAGCCACCTCGGCAGCCAAGAAGAAATTCCGCCAGGGGAAGCTGACAACGACCACGGCCCGGATCACGGCACACTATCGACAGAGGTGGTCGGTCATGCTGCAGCGCTCCCAGGCGACCTCCTACCTGAACAAGTCCAACCTGGCCGACGAGGCAGCGTTCCCCCAGGCTGCAAGGGACCCTTGGGAACCGACGCTCGATGGCGCGGCCTTCGGCCGCGCGTGAGAGGACATCAAGCGCAGGCACACACTGTGATTCATATTCAAAAGCAGTAAAAGCATGGCATTCCCTACGTCAGCCTAGACAAGCAAAGCAACCATGGAGCAACCGGAGCCCGCCCCTACATGCGGTGAGCTCCAAGGGCGTGAAGAACGCCCGTCAGGGAGCGCCACAGCTCCCGGACCACAAGTGTGCTTGCGCCGATCGCCGCGGCTCCAGATCCTGCGCGCAAGTGCCGCCTCAAACCACGGACAGCCTCGTCAAGCTATCCCGCGGCAGCAGCGCCTCCCTCCGCGGGCGCAGCCAGCACGGGCGCCAGCATCACCGAGAGCTGATCTACCGCGTCCAGGCACGTCTCACGCTGGCGCCTACGAAGGGTCTCGGGAGGGATCGCGGGGAGAGATGAGTGCGCCAGCACCTGAATTAGCAGCAGCGCGTGCAGACTCTCCGCGAGGCGGTGGAGCTGTCCGAGAGTCGCCTCGGGAACGCGCGTCTGCGGAGGCTGAAGAGCCTCCGCTAAGAACTGGAACGGCTCTTCGACTGCAGCAGAAGGAGGGTACTGCCCTCCCCCCGAGCCGCCACCTGCGGCCACAAACTCCACCCCCGCAACAGGCGGAACCGGCGGCAGGTGAAGACGCGATCCAGGGGCGGGGGCCGAAGCAGCGGGAGCAGGAGCCTCCGGGAATGGACTCTGCGGTGGCGGTGCAGCGACAGGCTGCGGACTTGACGAGAGCACATGCTAGCAAGGAGCCTCGGGGGTCGGCGAGGCGCGCATCGATCTGCTCTGACTCTGAGCCGCCCTCTCCTCGTGCACGGCCCTTGACACCTCCCGGTGAAGGTCTGCCATCGTCACGGGCGGACGATACCCGCCCCCACGCCCGCGGGGACCCCTCCGGTCCCCCTGGCCTCCGAGGTGTGCGGGCCAGTGCGACTGCTGTTGATAGCGGCGGGGAGAATCGCGCCGGCGGCGAGACGACCTGCGCTCCTGGTGGGACGCGGGCGAATGGGGACGCGACTGGCGCGCAGGCTGGCCAGTCTGCGCAACAGGGAGAGCCTCAGAAGCAGGGTGACCCACTGAGGAAGGCGCCAGCAATGGGGCCGGGCCGCCAGTGGTGGCGGACGCCGCCTGCAGGGACGAGGCAGAGGCCGGAGCAGGCGCGCCATGGACAACAGCAGGCGGCGCAAAGGGCACGCCAGGGAAAGGAGCGGGCGTGTCAGGGACAGCAGCAGTCGGGGGAACGGGCAGGCCAGGAGCGGGAGCAGGCGCTCCAGGGACAGCAGCAGGCGGCGCAACGACCACGCCATGGGCGTGAACAGACACGGCAGGAGCAGCAACAGGCGGCGCAACGGAGCCAGGCGCAGGAACGGGCGAGACACCAAGATCCCCCCCAAGGCCAGACGCCTGCGGATCTTCGCGAAGAACCGGGGGAGCCACCGGAACAGGAGCAGCAGACGGGACGGCCTGAGCAAGGACCTGGGCTGCAGGACCAGACCCCCCCGCAGCAGACGGGACCGCGCGTTCGGGGAGAAGAAGCTTTTCAGAGACTGTTGTCGAGGGCCTCGGAGCCGGTGGCACAGGAGGCTTCGTCGCCATGGTCCCCGTTTCGGGGACTGACGGGGGCTTGGCGACGACTGCCGACCAGGCGGCAACGCGCTCTGGCGACGGCTCAGGAGCTCCGGCAATCACCATCGCAGGCGCAGGGAGGTCGCGGGGCGGGAAGGCGTACGGAAAGCGGAGCGGGCGGAGGCCCGGAAAACGGTTACCAGGCGGCGGCTAGAGTGGCTTTAAATAACTTAGAGGCAGCTAATGAAGAAGACGAGATACGGGATCCCTCTTATAGGGAGGAAACTGCAGCCCCGAGCGAGACTGACGAGGGCGAGGAGGAGGAAGGCGGGACGAGGTCGAGAGAGAGATCGAGGAGAAGGGAAGCAACTGAGGGGCAAACACGCGTGCAGAGGCCCCGGGGGACACACACACCGTCTGATGCTGATCGGACGGGGGAGCTCCCAACCATAGCCTCCCCTGCGCGATCGGGCCGCGCTCGGAGAAATCGGACCGCGAATGCAGATGCTGCTACACGCTCAGCCGCTCAGACGCCCCGCTATTTTTCGCCTGACGAATTGGCGAAGCGAGCCTACCTGTTCGCCTCTGTTGGGAATTGGGATATTACAGCGCTATGCGACAGCCGTCAGCCTTTGCTGTCGCGGCGCTTACCGCCAAATTTGTGTCAGCTGTTCTCGCTGGCGTTACTGACGCCGTTACTGCACCTCTCACGAAACCCCGAGTCAGAGACAGGGTGGCGCCTGCTGTTGTTTCTCCCGCACCTAACACTTCGCCAAACCTCGCCTCGACGACCGAATTGGCCAGAAATCAAGGCCCGACTCCGAGCCTTCCAGCGTGGCGAATGGGAACAGTTGTATCAGGACGCGTTAGACGCAGTCAACACACCTCCCCCGCCTCGACATCAGCCCGATGCAGCTGGTGTGCTCAGCCGAGCCGAAGGACTGGCGAAACGTGGCAGCCTGCGACGGGCCGTGCTGGCCCTAGAGTCAACGCCCGTCTGTACCCTGAGCCCCGAAATCCTGGAGGAGCTGCGTTCGAAGCACCCGCCTGCTGAACCCGGGGAGGTGACATGGCCAGCGCCACAAGGGTCAACGCTTTCAATCCCGCACGCTGACTTCGCCAAGATGCTGGGTAAATGTGAAAATGGAGTTGGAGCCGGGCCGTCGGGCATGACATTTGAGCACCTGCGCGATGCGGCAATCATAAATGCACTGGTCAGCACCCACCGGCACGCCTTAGTAAACACCATCCTGGGAGGAAATTTGCCAGCCTCGGTGGCAAACCTCCTCACTGCGTCGTGACTCATAGCCTTGGCCAAACCGGGGGGAGGGGCCCGGCCAATAGCGATAGGCGAATGCCTCACGAGGCTGGCTGCCAAGGCGGCCCTGTCAGCGATGGGAGAAGCTGCCCGCGATTTCTTCTTGCCTCTACAGTACGGCATTACAGACCCCTCGATCGAAGGGGTGTACGGCTATACCGCGAGCTTCACACATGCCGCCCTCTTTCTGGCATCACTAGAGTGTGCCCCTCATGGCGCGCTGACACAGGCCCGGGACCACATGCTGCTGCCTGCAGACGTCAACACTCCCCTTCATGAGTGACTCACCGAGTGCGAAGCCGCGTTACCCCTGGAGGCACGAGAAATCCTGGAGAAGGAACGGCTGAAGCGGTCGGATGTGAGACTACAACATGCGCTGGCTTTGCAGGTGCACGGGAGCAGATACGCTGTGCAGGTTCAAGAGACACGGCAGATGGAGCTGAACCCCCTGAGTGGACACACACAGCGGATGTTTTCAATGACCGGTTACGGGACCGGGGACTGGTTGACAGCCATCCCCATTGCGGCGAACCGAAGGATAGGGCCCATTCACTTCTCCAATGCTGTGCGCTTCAGGCTGGCCCTTCCTTTCTCCACGCCTAAAAACTGCGACTGCTCTGACCATACCGCTATCCTAGACCCCCGCCTCCCTAACCACCTTCTCCGTTGCGGCACGGGCAAGCACCGCATCAACACCCACAACGAGCTGCGGGACGCTTGCATAAGCATGGCCCAAGATGCGGGGTTCATTGTCCATAGCGAGACCTCGGCATACTGCCCCGTTGAGGAATAGACCGCGGACTTTACGATGACGGACAAGAGCAGCGGCGCTGTCTACGTCTGCGACGTCACCATCACAGATCCCATTAGCACTAGAGACCCGGAGGCACAGAAGGGCAGGGGCTGGGCGGCGCGGGAGCAGGCTGACAAGAAGATCAAGCACTACGCTGCCCGGCCAGAGACGGTGAACTTCTTCCCTCTAGCGGTGGATACTTACGGCTGCCCGTGTGCTGAGGTGCCAGTTTTCCTGAAGCTATTGGCGGACACTGCAGCTCGGCGCCACTTCAATGCCGACTCCAAATCATTCTATGCTGCAAAGTTCCTGCACCAGTTCAGGCAACGTTGGTCAGTGGCCCTCCAAAGGGCTCAATCTGTGGGCCCCCTGCTCAAATTAGGGGAGGCTGCGGCAGTGGAGAACCCGCCCGTGGGGGGGATTGGAGACGAGTTGCACCTTGGGGACTGCTTTGCAGTCATTGAGCCCCTAGTGGATTTGTAGATTTGTGGTGCTTGTGCCTTGCATGTTAGCTATCTATACCTCAATGACCTGCATGCTTGTACTTGGCCGCTATATCAATACAAGGACCATTAGAGAGAGAGAGAGAGGGGCTTAGTGACTTAGCCTCTGCTGCAAGCCTCTCCAGCCCCCCAAGCCTCTCTAGTCCTAGTATAAAGCCTTAGAGGCTCTCTTTCAGCCGTCATTATTCAGTTCTTTGGTGGGTTTCTCTCCTAACCGAGCGGCTGAGAGAGGAGAGAGAGAGAGAGAGAGAGAGAGAGAGAGAGAGAGAGAGAGAGAGAGAGAGAGAGAGAGAGAGAGAGAGAGAGAGAGAGAGAGAGAGAGAGGCTTAGTGACTTAGCCTCTGCTGCAAGCCTCTCCAGCCCCCCAAGCCTCTCTAGTCCTAGTATAAAGCCTTAGAGGCTCTCTTTCAGCCGTCATTATTCAGTTCTTTGGTGGGTTTCTCTCCTAACCGAGCGGCTGAGAGAGAAGAGAGAGAGAGAGAGAGAGAGAGAGAGAGAGAGAGAGAGAGAGAGAGAGAGAGAGAGAGAGAGAGAGAGAGAGAGAGATGGCCTAGGACTAGTCCTTAGCCGTTTTTCAGCCCTCTCTAGTGTAGGATCCAGTCCTTAGCCGTTTTACTGGTGAGTTCAGTTTACTCTCCAAAACCGGCGGCTCGCTCGAGAGAGAGCGAGAGAGAGAGAGAGAGAGATGGCCTAGGACTAGTCCTTAGCCGTTTTTCAGCCCTCTCTAGTGTAGGATCCAGTCCTTAGCCGTTTTTCAGCCTAGTACCCTAGTATATAGTCCCTAGATGCTCCCTTCTGAGCTCATTCTTCACTGGTGAGTTCAGTTTACTCTCCAAAACCGGCGGCTCGCGCCGGCCGCCTTCGGCGGCCGCCGCTCGCCAGTGCGGCCTTTGGCCGCGCGTGAGGGGAGGCAAGGAAAAGGGACGGCAAGGACTATAGCAGCAAGTGATACAACATGCAAGGGTAGCATCCTACAACAACAGCACCACCCCCGGGCGTGCCTACACCGCCATGGGGAAGCCCAAAGCCAGGCCTGCCTCACAGGGGGCCGGCAAGGGGAAGCCACCCCCTACTCAACCAGGATCCAGCAAAGTCGCCCGTCCAACCAGCGTAGGACGGATGCGGCAGCGGCTACAAGGTCGAGAGGGTCCTCCTGGGCAGACTCGGCAAGCCGCGCCAAAGCACCAGGGCCGGGCCCGAGGGCAGCTCCGGGGGAGCCCGGTGCAACGCCAATCAGCGGGAGGTAATGCTGCAACTCCTCCGCTGCCGCCACCGCCGCCGTCTGCTCCGCTGGCTGCATCGCCCCGATCTGCACCTCCTGCTGCACCAGGGTCACGTGAAGCTGGTCGAGCACATACGACAGGAGTGTCAAGCACGTCCCCACGTGCATCACGCGCTGCTCGACGAGAGTTGGGGGCTCACCAGGAACCACGGCAGGAGGAGGAGGCGGTACGGGAGGTGTCACCGGCTGCCATGGGCGCTGCAGAGGGGGGCTGCCATACAAGTACCGATGGAACGACGGCGGAGACGGTACTGTCTGGGGGTTCTGAGCGGGCAGGAGCGGCGACGGGGGAGCATGTGACACCGAGGGACGCAGCTGATGCGGACGGAGGGGTAGGGGAAAATGACGGAGCGGAGATTGAGTCGGCGGCTGCGACGGGGAAGCCTGTGGTAGCTGATGCTGACGGGCCTGCAGTGGGGACGGCGGCAGACCCTGCGCCTGCCGGCGGTTCTGCCGCTGCCTTTGACGGCGGCTCAGCTTCACCCTCTGCCACCCCTCGGGTTGCACAGGCAGAGGCTGAGGAGACGAGGCCGGGCGCGGTTCTGGAGCAGTTCGCTGAGGTGGCGTTGTCCGCGTCGCCAGCGCCGGTAACGGCGGCGGCGCTGGCGGCGGTGGTGTCTGCTGCGATTGGGGAACATGGCGACGCCCCGGTGGCGGGAGGCGCGACGACTGCCGCTGCGTGCGCCGAAACGCCTGTTGCTGTCGTGGCCGCAAGCAGGCAGGAGCACGGCCACGCGGAGGGAGAGTTTCCGGGACCCGCGAGCGGCGCTTCTTCCGGCGCTGCACGTGCGAAGTCGAAGACGAGGCTGCGGGCCCAGCCAGCGCCGAGACGGCCCGGAGCAGGGCTGGGACCTGGCTCCCCGGGACCCCTCTTGGGCTGGCTTCTGCAAGGGCAACCGCCATCAGAGCGAGCGCATTGGTCGTCATCGTTGAGCCAGCAGGAGGTGCGCGAGGTGGCCGAAGCTGGAAGCCGCCCGCCAGGAAACACCCGTGGTGCTCCTGCACTCAACGCGACACCAGCGACGGCAGCACACGCTGAGGCGCCCAACACAACGAACGCCGTCGCGCACAACACCCGCCACGCGACGCGACGAGCGGCAATAACCTGGGGACCGCCCCGGGGAGGCCGGACACCGTGGTTGCCGGCGGGACGTGGAGCGATGGGCGAGGGGACGAGAGCGCCAACAGGCGGGGGGCGGACTCAGCGGGGGGTCGGTGCACGGGGAGCGCGCGGAGGACGAGGGGGAAGGGCACTGGTGGGGGGATCTGAGATCCCCGTGCGTACTGGCACCTGGCGGGAACGCCACGATAGGCCAGGAGCGGTGGAAGTACCAACGAATGAGGAACAGGCAGCGGGCTCTGAAGATAACGCCGGCGACCCAGAGTTTATGTGCGGTGAAGAAGCTGAATCTGAGGAGGTGTCACTGGAGGAGGAAACTGGGGTGGACAGGAATGCTCCAAACTCGCGTGGAAGAGGGCCGAGCGGGATTGCACAGAACCAACGGGCGGTGGGAGATACAGCAGGAGAAACTGAGGCGACAGATGTCTTCTCGCCCTCTGACATGGCGAAGGAAGAGGCCATCTGGCAGGGAGCTGAGGGTTGGGATGTGAAGCAACTGCAACGTGGGGACCAGCCTTTCCTTGTCCGCCGCCTGCCCCCACAAATTCTGGACAAATACTGCCTCTGTTTGCTGGCACCTCTCCTGAGGCTGGAAAAATCCCCTACGTGCCTTGGTGCGTGGAAGATTCTGCTGTTCCTACCGAGGCTTACACTCCGACCCTCTCTCGAACCTGTTGTTGGGAGTCGCTGGGCTCGAATTGAGGCTCGGCTACATCAATTTCAGCAAGGGAAATGGGATGACCTTTTCGAGGAAGCCGGAACCATCCCCGATACCGACGCCCCGTTACGACACCAACCTGACGACGAAGGGGTTTGTGCACGCGCCGAAGGGTTAATGAAGAAGGGGAATATCTCGAAGGCAGTTGCTGCGTTACGCACCAGCCCACTCGCTGAGCCTAGTTCGTCAACCCTCGCTGCACTCCAGGCGAAACACCCACCTGCCGAAGACGACATCCAGGCCTGGGTAACAGGAATAGCAACTTCTGAACTCGCCGTCCCGGTTGACGCTCTCCGCGAAATCCTGGCGAAATGCCCGAATGGAGTGGGTGGGGGGCCCTCTGGAACATGTTTCGAGCACCTGAGGGATCCAGCTCTAGCCAACGAGGAGATCTTAATCCTACTCGCTAAGACAGTCAACACACTCCTTAGCACATTCCAGTCTCAGGAGCTGCGCGACCTCACCCTAACCTCACGCCTGATAGCCTTAGAGAAACCGGGGGGTGGGGTCAGGCCTATCGCGATTGGCGAAACATTACTCCGTGTAGTAGCGAAAGCGGCTCTTCACTCACTTGGTCCTAAGATCCGAGAGTTCTTTCTTCCGGTCCAGTTCGGAGTGGCTATCCGGGGGGGAGCGGAGTGTATCATCCACTCAGTCAGAGCGCTACTTCAGGAGGACGAAGCACGGATTGCGCTGCAGATGGACGTAGAGAATGCGTTCAACAGCGTTGAACGCAGAGCATTTTTTGAGGCCCTGCAGTGGTCCAACCTTAGTCCCCTCCTCCCCCTGGTCCGAAACCTCTACGATGGCCCGTCGCGGCTACTAGTTGACCAACGTTTTGGCACAGACCACATCCTTAGCTCCCGCGGAGTTCGCCAGGGAGATCCGCTCGGCCCGCTTCTGTTCGCTGCTGCGATCCAGCCAGCCCTGCTGAGCGTGGCCACTACTCTGCCGGAAGTGGCGATCATCGCCTATGCAGACGACATCACGATCGTCGGCTCACGAGAGGCTGCCTGCACCGCCTTCAACACGATCGCCTCGGCTCTGAGAGCGGTGGGACTGCGCTGCAACATAGACAAATCATCAGCATGGGGACGGAACGCGGTCGAGCAACAGGAGGAGCTGCCACTGGGGCTGACCATGAACCAGGGGGGAATCAAAGTGCTGGGCAGTCCAGTGGGGAATGATGGCTTCTGCACGGACCACGTACGTACGGCACTAGGAGAAGCGGCGTCGCCACTCCTCCTCATCTCGCAACTAAACCCGCAGCACGCGCTTCTCATGGTCTCGCGCAGCATCTCTCGGCGGATCTCATATATGCTTCGGACGACCCCGACATCAACACTAAGCACGCGAGAGTGGAGGGAGTGGAGCGAGGCTCTCCTGGTCTCGGCACTCACTGCGGCCAAACTTCGGATCCCCTCCTCCGAGCTTGAACAGAGCCTGCTGTGGCGCCAGGGAACACTCCCTATCCGCCTGGGTGGCCTCGGAGTGATTGACCCTATCTCTGAAGCACCCGCTGCCTATCTGGCTTCAGTCGCGGCAGCACACATCCTACTGAGGCAGCTGGACCTGCCAACTGACTGCCTCATGAGCCGAGCGACTCAGCTCCTCTCCCACGATTGGGTCCCACCGCCACCAGAGACCAACCCCAGAGCCACTATGGAGGGTGCCCTCCCTGCTGAAGCCCGAGCAACACTGGAGCAATACAGGGCGGGGAGTCCAGGCACAGGGAACCTGCAGCTGGGGCTGTCGAAGTCTATTAACCAGCGGCGGGCCTTGGAACTCCTAGCGGACACCCTGCAGGACCGGCCGGGGGAGGACAGGGGCCATGCCATCCGCCTCATCAGCCTAAAGGGGGTGGGCGCGGGTGACTGGCTCCATGCCATGCCAACGAGAGGAGACCTTAGCTTATCCCCTGGTCAATTCTCGATGGCCCTGGGCCTGCGTTTGGGCATGGAGCTGCCGGTCGCCGAGGTGTGCCCTTGCAAGCGGGAAAACTCGACCATCTCCGACAAAAGCCTCCCCAACCACCTCCTGCGGTGTGGGGATGGCGGTGACGTTGTGAGGACCCACGACGCCCTGGTCTTTGCAGCTCTCAAAATGGCCAAGGATGCGGGTTACAGGACGTTCCATGAGTCCACGGCGTTCTCTCCCCCGGTCCTACGGAAGCGGGCGGACCTGGCCATCCGGGACCAGGAGTCGGGGGAAACATGGGTAACCGATGTCACGGTCACAGATCCCGTACTGCAGAAGCGGGATAAGAGAGCTAGGAAGCCGCCGAGGTGGGCAGCAGAGGAAGCCTCCGAGGGTAAGCACAGGCTCTACGAGGGCCGCCCTAGCTACGCCGGCTTCTTTGGGCTAGCGGTAGAGACTTACGGGGCTCTGGCTAAAGACACGCAGCAGTTCATCCGTATGCTAGCCACCTATGCCGCCAAGACGAAGTACAGGAAGGGACGCCTCACGACGACCGCCGCCCGCCTCAATGCACACTTCAGGCAACGGTGGTCCGTGGTGCTCCAGCGCAGCCAGGCGATCTCCCTCCTCTCCAAGTCAAACCGAGCGGCGGAAGCGGCTTTCCCACAGACAGCGGCGGACCCTTGGGCACCTCGGCTAGGAGATCTATGGCAGACCTTGGAGGACGAGTACGAGGAGCGACACGCCCCTGCCAGGGCGGCCTGAGGGGTTGAGGGGGCCGGGGAGAAAGGAACATGGTGACAGGAGGAGGATGGGTGGCGGCAGGGGGAGATACAGGGGCGCGGGGAAAAGCAGGAGGGGGTGCGCTGAGTCAGGGTGGGTTAGAGGGAACAAGGATAAGGAAGGGCGTCTCAAGGAAGGTGCGAGGAAGCCGCGGGATGGAGGAGGAGGATAAGGGGAGGTTGTGTGGTTTGGGAGGGACAGGGGACAGGTGGATGTTGGGGGTTCTCATGGTCCTGAGCTGCTGGGGACTGGGCTGCTCTAAGAGTTAGGGGTGCTTAGGATGGATAGGCTTGCTCTGTCTGCTGCTTGTTTAGTTCTGGTTCCCTGGCTGCTCCAATCTCTAGGCAAGCTAGTTACCACCACCTGCAATGCCTGTACCTTGTGACCCATATCAATACATGACTGCTTCAGAGAGAGAGAGAGAGAGAGAGAGAGAGAGAGAGAGAGAGAGAGAGAGAGAGAGAGAGAGAGAGAGAGAGAGAGAGAGAGAGAGGCTTAGTGACTTAGCCTCTGCTGCAAGCCTCTCCAGCCCCCCAAGCCTCTCTAGTCCTAGTATAAAGCCTTAGAGGCCCTCTTTCAGTCGTCATTATTCAGTTCTTTGGTGGGTTTCTCTCCCTCCCGAGCAGCTGTGCCTGCCCCTGCAGCCGTGCCTGCCCCTTCGGCCCGTGGGCGCTGCCTCTGCAGCCGTGCCTGCCCCTGCAGCCCGTGGGCGCTGCCTCTGCAGCCGTGCCTGCCCCGGCAACCCGTGGGCGCTGCCCCTGCAGCCGTGCTTGCCTCTGCAGCCCGTGGGAGCTGCCTCTACAGCCCGTGCGCTGCCCTAAACCCTGCTCGTCACGACGCCCCTGCGGGACATGCGCGGCGCCCCCCCCCCCCCCCCCTGCTCGTCGCGACGCCCCTGCGGGACCCGCGCGGCGCCCCCCCCCTGCTCGTCGCGGCGCCCCCTGGGCGCCGTCCCTGCTCGTCACGGCGCCCCCGGGGCGTCGCCCCCTGGGCGCCGTCCCTGCTCGTCGCGACGCCCCCGGGGCGCCGTCCCTGCTCGCCGCGGCGCACCCGGGGCGTCGCCCCTGCTCGTCGCGGCGCCCCCTGCAGCAGCTGCCTTGGAGCCCCGCCCTGCAGCAGCTGCCGCGGAGCCCCCTACCACCGTCGCGGCCCCGCCCTGCTGCAGCTGCCGCGGAGCCGCCTGAAGCAGTTGTGGCCTGCCCTGCAGCAGCTGCCGCGGAGCCCCCTGCCTCTGTCGTGGCCCCGCCCTGTAGCTGTCCCGGCCCCGCCGTCGCCGCCGTCGTGCGCCTACCCTGCTCGCCCGGCAAGCGACTGCCCTTCCCGCCACTGGTGAGCATTTGCCCTACCCGCGCTTCCCGCGCGCCTGCCTTACTAGCGCGTTGCCGCGCTGGCCTGCCTGCCACGCCTGCCTACCAGCCGAGCTGCGCCGCCTAGCTGAGCCGAGCCGCCTTGCGGCGCCGAGCCGCCCAGGCGAGCCGTGTCGTGCTGCCGGGCTGTGCAGCCCTACTCTACTGAGCCACGCTACCCTGCCCGTGCTACTACTGCTGTTTCTGCTGCTACTGCTGCTGCTACAGCTACTACTTCTACTACTGCTCCTAGCGGTGGCCAGATGCAGCTCCAGCGACGTTCACGTGAGTCCCTCACGCCCCAGCAGCTTCGTGAGTGGTACGCTAGTTGGGGTTGTAGGGGTGGCCGCGCTCCTACTGCTGTTACTACTGCTACTGCTGCTACTGCTGTTACTGCTGCTACTATGGCTACTACTGCTACTGCTGCTCCTGGCGGTGGCCAGATGCAGCTCCAGCGTCGTCCGCGTGAGTCCCTCACGCCCCAGCAGCTTCGTGAGTGGTACGCTAGTTGGGGTTGTAGGGGTGGCCATGGTGGGAGTCGCCCTGAGGCGGGTCGTTCAAGAGCTTCTTGTAGTGACCAGGTGCAACTGCAGCAGCGTCCGCGCGCGGTCCTTTCGCCCCAGCAGCTTCGTGAGTGGTACGCTTAGAGTAGAGGGTCACGGAGTACTGATCACTGCCCGTACGTCATTCGCACTGGTGCTCGGGCTGGTCAGCCTTGCGGGACGGTTGGTCACACACAGTCCAGCTGCTTCGCCAGTCTGAGTGACGCCTGGCGTACAGAGTTTGGCGACGACGCTGAGCTCCCCTCCTAGCTGGAGCTGCTTAGGCAGAGGGTAGATATCTTTGCACTATCCTCACTGTCATGTATGCATTGCCTACTAGTGCTGAGGGTGCCTGTTACCTGTGTGTACCGCCTGACCCAGGTATAGAGTCTGCTG